ATAGCGATCTCCCGTGATAGTTTCCTTTGGTTTGAAAAGCTCATAATAACTTACACCCAGCTGATCCCTCCAAATGCAGAGGAAAAGGTTGGAACCATGGCTTTGCACAAGATATCGATGTATGGTCGGTCTTACCCCACGATTTTATATGGTTAGGATTATTGTACGGTATCCATTCATCGCCAGCCATGAAACGACAAAAAAACCTATTCTCCTCGGCCGTTGAAGCAGCAGTTCACACGTGAGATAAAGCCGTTCGAAGTCTCTCGACTTCAACTCATACCCGATACCCTTGCTTCCGGATCATTCCTAATGCTTTCAAACGATTTTGGGACGTCAGCTGGCGTCTGTCATGGGTCTTCATTAAGTAATGCCTCGAATTCATCGACTTTATTCTTTTTCGGTGCGCCAGAGCGTTCTTTAACTCCACGATCAAAATCATTACTTTTGCAGCGTCGAAACCAGTCCCCGCATGTCGTTTTCGACTGCGCATGTTTGCCGTAATTCTCAACAAGGATTCTGTGTGCTTCAGCTGTAGATATTTTTGAATAAAGTAGTGCAATAAACTTACCCGCAAATGCTGTTTTCTTGGCAAAATCTCGACTCGTTGGGCATTCGGAAACAAACCGTTGTTTACTATGTGGCGAACAAAGGCTCCCAGACGTTCACGCTTACCAACATTACTTCCTTGTAAGTGCGTTCGCATCGGGAATTACATGCAGGTAGTCCAGATTACGTCAACTGATAGGAAACAGCGAAAACTTATTTAAGCACCATTTAGTTATCCACTTTTTTCCACAAAACGAGCTCTTCTCATGAAAATTCATTGTTTTCCCCGCAACATTACAATGCTTTCTCTTTACTACTACGTAAGTAGTATGCAACAGTAAACGCAATGATAACACAAATTCTAATTATTGAATCGTAACCAAAAGAATCTTATTGTTCTGATACTGTACGTCTCCAAAACATTTATTTTAGTTCTCAATAATACTTCCAAATGTGACTGCAAAATGTTTCATTATGATCTGGTAAAATCTCGTTTTAAGTCGGGTTGCATTGCATGATTAATATTTAGTTTTAGCATGTGATTTTAAAATACTTATCGACATAACTATCGCAAATTTCATATTAGTTACGCTAAAAAAATTCATATCACAATATTCGTAAAATTTTCGAAATGTGTACCTCACGCCATTCCGAAACCAGATCTTCTTCCCCCTCAACGAATTCGTCAGAAACGGGAGATTCTTCTTCGGGGGAGAGAGTATCTTCAAACACGCTCTAGGAAGAAAGCACATTTTTACCAACTGGAGAAAACTGCGTTCCCCAAAACCACAAACTTAGAAGTACCTAACAACTTCTCAAATTAAATATTTGTGATTGCATAATGCATAACATATGAAATAGCATACTGGCTTGCCCAGTTCCCAGGTTTTTATCTGGCTGCTAGTCCAAGATAACGTTTAAATTAACTTTATTACCGAAACATTCGTTAATTCAAATGTTATTCAAACAAAAATTAATTGAATCACAAACACGAAATTTATGTCTGTATTTAAGCAATGTCGAAACTTGTAGTGCTACAACAGCACATACGTTCTAGTATTATTTGAATATTTTGCTATATTCCAATTTTTCACAGTGTTTGACGAAAATGAAGCCTGCACAATGATTATAAGCTCACTTTGCATTATTTTCGTAAAAAATGTAAAGAAAACTAGTGGATCTACCAAAGCACATACTTTCTCGCATTGTTTCCGCAACAGTATTTTACTTCATAAACCAAAAGTGTTTTCAAACTGCAAATTATTTTTCTGCTCCGACACTCGAACTCAGAAGCGCCGCATGGGTCGAACTCGGGCAAAGGCTTAAAAAGGTAAATGCACCATTTCAAGTAAAATAAAATTCAACAATCAAAGAACTCTTAGAAACTTTCAAATCCTCTAGTCCGTTCAGATCAATCAGGGAATATAAATTTTAAAGAAAATCAACTGAACGGTTTAGGAGCAAACAACAGACGGACAGTTTTTCTGGCGAAAATTCGTCGTTCTTCTGCGCACGATTACATAACTTTCTGTTCTTACGAAAAATTCATAAGGTGAGAAAGTAAAAGTAGCAGCCGTTGTTGAGAAAATACTTTTTTTTAATTCCCTTCACTTGAAGCAAAAATTACGCGCAAACTACATATATTTTCAAACAAGTAGTGCTACCACAGCTCATTCTTTCTCGCATCATTGGAAACAGTTACGTCATATTTAAATATTGCCATTTCTGCGCAATTAACCCCTCAGCTATTACTTTAATATGTCCAATTCAACCAATTCAAACAAAGCGTTCATGATGCGTGTATATATATATATATATATATATATATATATATATATATATATATATATATATATATATATATACATATAATCGATTCATGTTGATAGGAGGAGCAGGCCCTTCTTACTTTGACAAATGAAACAAACAGGAATACGTTTGACTATTATAGTATTCGCAGCAAATTATACAGTCGCGAGCAACGGATCATTTTCAAAACTATGTGCATTCCCTTGGAGAATAATATCAATTCTCGGCGAAAACGCTAATTTTCTGTATTCAGATTTCAACATGGTCATAGATTAGTCGTAGTATATTATACACAGCTGATATATAACTAAATCTAATATTAATAAACTAATAAAATAATTAATTTTCTACTATTTGTAATATTAAGTTAATTCATTACAGACGTATTATATACCAGACATCGCCTCAAACGAAACGCACTAAAATAAAACTTTAAAGTTTAAAATAATGTGATGTATTGTTTTTATTTCAATTTTTTAATAATCTAGTGTCTGTGAGCAAACTCATCTAATATAATACACATTTTAAATAGTAAAATGAACTCCGTAACGTTCGACAGCCGAGAAACAGCAGCGTGTTTAAGCTAGTATTTTAAGCCCTGTCTCTCACGAAAGCCAACATGTGTCCTAACCATTGTGTTACCGCGACCCCGCATTGTATGGCATTTTTACCATCTAAAACGACTCGAGTGTTTTATACAATTTCAGAGAACAGGCTATTTGTTTAAAATTTTAATGCACGTCAGTGACAAGTTTACCAAATTGAAACGCTGATACCTTGGTCATGATTGGTTGCACAATTTGGTAATTTCCTCCAAGATTTCCTTATGATCTCATCTTGATGTTTTTAATTAATCATGAGATTTAATGATTATTTTATGAAATTCTGATGAATTCGTCGCTACAGCTGTATGAATGTTTCTTAGGACTTTGATGTTTAAAGACAGAAGACCTTACGGTGTTGTTGTTAGATGCATGGCGAAATCGTGGATTAAGGGCAACACAACGACACTAGGCCAGGAGGCCCCATGTTTAGTCTAGTCCGAAACGTTTCGTTCGAGGGGCATCTGTTGCTGAGATACCAGTTGAAGCTGTTAACGAGAATGTAACGTTGTTAACAATGGAGATCTCAAAGGTTATTACTCCACAGAATAGTTTCAATTACAAAACAATGATTTTTTTATTATTATGTATTTTCCTTGTTCAACATAAAAATGTCTTTCAAGGGTTTGAAAATATTTTACATAAAATACATTTATTTTCTAGTGTATTATAAACATAATTAAACATAAAACATAATTAACGATATTAAAGGTTGTTCTAGGAAGGGGCCTCTGAACAGTCTAATTTTCATGATTCGTTTCTATTTAATCAGTGGAATTAAGGAGGATGTAAAAATAATTCGGAAAACGAGATTTAATACGGGGGTAAAGGTTGAGCTGACTGTCATAATTGGAAAATTAAAAGAAGGATTTAAGTGCCTTAGTTGTCAAGGTTGTTGTGGTGAAGATAACATGTGGCCACTTGCGAAAAGGGTGGGACCATTGACAGCCCATTTACAGCCCAAGGGTGTTCAAAGAGGTTATTGGTTATTTATGCACGTTTATCCAAACGCCACCAACTTAATCACCAATTTATTTTTTTGTTTCACATTGTTTGTGCATACGGTGACAGAGAGGGTTTCGCGCTTCTTCGTGATTTCACACTTTCTTCCAAGCCTTTCGGTTTGTGAGCTTAAAATTATTCAAAAGCATCATATAACCAAAATAAATAACTGCTGTGTGCACAGCTGACTTTGAAGTTGGCTGTACATTAAAGTCCACGGAACCCGCTTCACCAGATGAGGCAGCATCCGCTTCTCCAGGCAATCCACCGGAGAGGGTCCAATCCAGCCGCGGCGACGGATATACACTATGTGATCAAAACTATTTGGACACGTCCAACATGGTGTTATGGTGAGGTCGTGTTATTCATGGAAGGGGCTTGCACCCCCTAGTTGTTTTGTGTCGCACTACACGGTACAGACCTACGTTGATGTTTAAACACCTCCTTGCTTCCCACTGTTGAAGAGAAATTCGGGAATGGTGATTGTATCGTTTAACACGATCGAACACCTGTTCATACTGCACGGCCTGTGGCGGAGTGGTTACACGACAATAACATCCCTGTAATGGATTGACCTGCACAGTGTCTTGAATCCTATCGAACATCTTTAGGATGTTTTGGAACACCGACTTCGTGCCAGGCTTCATCGACTTACATCAATACCTCTCCTCAGTGCAGCAGTACGTGAAGAATGGGCTGCCATTCCCCAAGAAACCTTCCACCACCTGATTGAAAGAGTGCCTGTGAGAGTGGAACCTGTCATCAGGGCTAAGGAGGGGGGCAACAGCCTATTGAATTCTAGCATTGCCGATGGAGGGCGCAACGAACTAGGAAGTTATTTTCAGCCAAGTGTCCGGATACTTTTGATCACATAGTGTGTACTGCCTGGCACCCGGAAGAACAAAATGGTTTTTGGCTGAGATCGAGTGCGCTTCAGAGATTGTGATTGTTGCCGTTACGCCGACCACGCCATTTATTCTTTTTTATTGTTGTGAATTATAGTGTTCTTTTTATAAAGCTGCCTTTCAAGCTGCTCGTAAGACCCGTCTTCACAGCGATCATGCAACATTGGGCGGCACGACCGAGAAAGACGCGAAATGTAGTGGCCTAATGCCACTGAGAAGTTGGGCCTTCCAGGGCAACTTTATAAACATCGCAGTGTAGGCTACGAACTATCTTCTGGTGATACCGCGAACGGCTAAGGACTTGGTACTTTCTTTTCTGGCAATTGGTATACCTGTCATTGTTTTTGGTATGATTTGGATAGTGGCTCTTTGTTTGTAAAGCTGAAATTGTTCCAATAAACTGTTATTGTTGAAACATTCGTCTTGAAACTTTATCATACATTTCAATTAAGAAGATGATGGATTATTTGTTGCTTTTTGTTCATAATTCCTATTCTTTTTAAATTCCACAAATTATCTTATTCTTACGTAGTTGTTAATTAACTGCGTTCGTCCGTCTCTTCGTCACTCACGGTTAGAGCCCTTGTTGTCCACCAATTAAGTCAAATGAGGTGTCGTTCAACACGTCTCGTCTCGCGGAATGAAACTGATAGCTTTTTATTTTGGCGGATACATCCAAAAGATTCTTGGACATTTCTCTAAAAGAAGGATTTTTTTTATTTAAGTATTTGAAAACGTGTTTTCGGTGACTTATGCCGCCTCCAGAGGTGATCAGTAGCTAATTTGGAACTTCTAAACAAGACAAACCGATAGGCACATTTCTGTGTCGATTCACTCTAAGATATTTTGAAATACGTGTTGAACAACACGTGTTTTTATGGTTCCGATGCGCTTACTGCACTTGATGAAACGCTGTGATACTGAATTCACTGTTATTTCATGGCACAAATTTTATTTACTAAGACAAGACTAACTGATTGAATGGTTAATGATACCGGACGATTACGGGCGCGTCAATGCTGAGGCAATTAGTCCCGTGAGTATAGGCATGTTTTTATCACGGGAGATTGCCACATTGTTCCCTCGGTGGACGGTAAGATCCGGCACCGCTCTACGTCTGCTAGCGGGATTTTCTTCATCGAGTTATCTCCCACCAGCGAGGCACCGCTCCAGCCGAGAGTGCGAGAAAGTATGTGATATCGTAGAGCCGTTACTTCTTTGCAGATCACGAACGGCTTGTCCACTTTATCCGTACTACAACGTAGTACTCTTCAACCAAGAAATAATGAAGGTATGCACGGGTTCCAATGCATAAGTGTTGAAAAAGAAATTTGATCAAACTTTTTTGTTACATCGTAATGTAGCTGCAGATTCGCAGAGCGTCTCGTCACTACTTAAGTCACTATGTCACTTTCTCCATCCAGGTGCCTCCCACCACTCTGACATCCAAACATACCGTGGCTACGTAAGAAAATATAGTAAAAGAAAACATCAGTCTTTATTATTCACAGTTGTTGATCAATGGTACATTTATTTATAATACAATGCTCCAGCTCTTAAGAAATGAAGCTAAAATAAATTCACGATGCAAATGCTATGTTTCATCCAATCGAACAGGAAATTTTGGCTTTGGAAACTTTCTCTTGGTTAAACGCAAACGATGTTCCAGAAAATTTCCAAACCGCTCTTTAATTTTCTTGGGGATCCTTTCGTATTTGTTCTTTTTGTCAGGATAATCAAATTCACCAAGTTTCAATTCCTTGAACCAAGTCTCAAATTTAAGTGGTAACCACTTCCAACATGGGAACACTCTTTCCTGGAAAAAATAGTGAATGACTTTCCAGAACCATTGCTCATCCATGATCCGCAGATGGAAAACCCATTCCGGCGCAAATCCTGGGAGATATTCGTAGGAGTCTGGTCCGACTCCGTAATTAGCACAATAATCCTGGAATTCGCGAGGAGTGTCTGCAAATGTCGGCCATCTCTTGTTGTCGAGGAAATAGTGGACGAACTTCGGAAAGAAGTCCCAGTTGAGGCGTTTGGAGAGGACCACAAAGGACGGGATGAAGCGATATCCTTTGGGGGCGAAGTGGGTATCTTGACGGTCACTCTCGACGTCGCGATCATCAGAATTACAGTCGCCTCTTTTCTCACGTTCTTCGAGCTCGGCTGGTTGGTGTTCCCGAACACTATGAACACAAAAGATATTGAGATAATAGAGATAGAGATTTTAGATAATAGATTTTGAGATAAAGAGTTGGTTTGTATTTCCACGCACTATGAACACCAAAGAATTTGAAGTAATGAAGAATTTGTGTTCCACAACACTACGAACACAAAATATTTTGAGATAATAAAGAGTTGGTTTGTGTTCCCGCACAGTATGAACACAAAATAAATTGAGAAAATATAAAGTTGGTTGTGTTTCCACACACTATGAACACCAAAGAATTTGAAGTGATGAAGAATTTGTTTGTGTTCCAGAACACTATCAACACAAAATAAATTGAGACAATATAAAGTTGGTTTGTGTTTCCACACACTACGAACACCAATGAGTTTGAAGTAATGAAGAATTTGTTTGTGTTCCCGATCACTAAGAACACAAAAGACATAATGAAGAGTTGGTTCGTGTTTCCGCAAATTTGAACACAAAATATATTGAGATAATAAAGAGTTGATTTGCGTTCCGAAACACTTTGAAATGAAAGAATATGAGGTAATAAAGAGTTGGTTTGTATTCCCGCACACTATGAACACAATATAATTTCAGATAATAAAAAAATTGTTCAAAGTGAATCAACATTCGTTTCAAATTCATTGACTTCTGTTTAATGATTACTATATTACGAGAAAAACGACTGAATTAACCAGACTAATACAACTACTAATAATTTTAAAAAATTTACAATGTGATTGTAACTTATTAACTACAATCAAAACGGAATTTATGGTAACTGAAAAGCTTGTTATGTACACTTTCACAGTTTTTTATTCGTCTTATTAATCCAGTCGCTTTTAGCAGAATATAATCACTATGCACAAGTTAACAACGTGACTTCGCTTTGGTGCAGATCATTGACTATGCTGACGAGAACTCCAGTTATGGTTTGTCACATTCAGTTTTTATGTAAAATAATTTGTTATTTGATTGTAAGACGTAAGTTTTATAAAGTTTGGTATGTGTACTAATTCAGTCGTTTTTAGCATAAGATAGCGTAAACAGCTTTCACCAACTTGAAAGCTTCTCCACATGCTCGAATACTTCATTATTAGAGAAACACCGAAATATGATACTCCGTTTGATTTATCTGTTCATGTGTGATAAACTTCACTGAAGTGGAAGTAGTTCCAGCATATAACGGCGCTGTGCATCGCAAAAGTAATCACATGAAAAAAATAAATGCAAACCGAAATATGAAATGTCATCAAACAGAATGTGTCATTCTGCGAATTTAACAAGACAACGCTCTTTTGTTTCACTTCCAATCAAATTCCATTAGCCTAACCTCTTAAAAAGAAATAGGCGGCATAACGTATTGAATGCACGTATTGTCCGGGATATATTAAGTGCACGACGAAACTACCGTTTCAAGTTCAATTTCAGTGTAAATAAGTTCGTACAATTTGACTCTTCAGAACGAAATATTACGAGGCGAACATATACGTTGTTCCTCAATCAGTAATTAAGCTTTCGTGTGAAAACTCGCACGTCTGTATTGTTAAAATAATGGCAGCTGGCATAGAGAACATGTATCTAAACATCATCCACATACAGCTAATGTTTTGTTCTTCATTTTATATTATTATTTCTTGTACACTCACTCCGAATAAATGATAAGACGAAAACGAGCGCAATCGTAGAGTCAGATTTGAAACCCGCACGCTAATCGTCCACAACATTGGCGGCCACGGCCCCTTTCAAATCGTTCTGTCCTGAACTGTCCGTCCACGGGATTGTAGAGCTTCGCCTGTGCCTGCGTTTGTAATTAGTTTTATTACTTTTTCGCAACGGAGTGGAGAGAAAGGTATGTAATGCTGCGCGAAAAAACGGCGAATTTTCGGCAGAAAAACTCTTATTGTAACGAAATAGTGGATAAATTCAGTTGCTAAATTTGGGAGGAATTCCTCTAATACGTAGTGTAGCTACAATCCATGTTTTGTGGGTTCTTGATATATAAAAATTGAATGACGGCAAAAGATCTGTTTGTTTGTCCGCCCGTCTGTGAAAAGGCTAGCGGCTAAACCGTTCAGTCAATTTGCCCCAAAATTTATATTCACCAATCGATTTAGTAGATATCGCGGCCCCTTGAATTTGAAGGAGGTATTGTAATTCTAGGAGGTACTTAACATGAAACCCGTAGGATACTTTCCAAATTTTCAACAAAAGAAATGGCTCCATGGTTTTTGATTACATTTTCTGATGGATAGTGTGAAGAATGTTTAAGAGAATAGTGCAGGTCTCATGTTGATTTAAAAAACTTTTTCAAAAATTGCATAGGTTGAACATTTTTTGGCGCCTTCCTACAATTAAAATACTAAAGATGAAGTTTTTCCGGTAATGAAATCTGATCCTTAAAGATAGATTTTTAAATAATATTATTTACAATTGTTTTTAAACAGTTCTTTTCAATTTTGCGTGCAAGTACAGGCGTTTTAGTACCACTAGTTTGTTTTCTAGTGTGCACTCTTACACGAAAATGTGAATGTATTGTTTTTGTGCGAAGGCTGTCTGTCGAAAAGCCAAGGTGATCGATGTTTTTGAGACGACATGAGTCTCCCTATGAGACGTCAGCCGTGAGCTATTCCACGCACCATGTCTACAAAGCAGACAACTCAGCGTTGCCGAAAAACGGGAAGCCGCTAAACCATTCAAAACAGCTGTTTTCATAGAAACAACTCTGTTTTTTAACATCGATGTTTTGAGCTCGGTGTTTTACGTTTCCGATGTTCGGATTGTGTAGGAACAATGTTTCAACTTTTTGTTTGAAATACGTATTATCCTACACCAATAGAATTGTTTAAAGTTAATTATACAAGATTGATTGACCGACTATTCGATGATTCCGGTCACGTAACTGCTATGGTCATCAGTCCTAAAAGTGTAGTACAGTGTTGGGTACAGAGGTGGTAAGGTTCCCCTGCTGGGTGGTGAGATCCGGTGAAGACCTAAAAGTCGACTTGCGGGGATTTCCACCAACCAGGTATCTCCCACTTTCGGGGCTTCATCCCAACCGGGACAAGGTCTAAGCTCCCGGCTGATCTCCCGGCATGTGCAGTAGTGTAGTGCATGTTAGTGTGTGTGTGTGTGTAAAGGATGTGGTTAGATAAAGAAAGAGAAAGGAAGGAGCGCGCGCGGTCCGTGGCGCGTTTAGGTTTCTGCTCCGTCATTTGCAGCGGGTTGATAGGAGACATCACGGTAAACAACCGATCAGAGCAGAAGACCGCTACAATTGTCCTCCAGACAGTGACAGTACTCGCCCGAGATATCCAGCTAGTGCCGAAATTCCCGCCATCGTCGCCTCTCGACGTAGCGCCTCCCAGTGAGAGGGACTGCAATGACATCAGTTGATGTCCTGAGACACCTTAGCCGGTAAAGTTAAGTATTCCTCCAGTACAATTAACTAAATATTATTTTTTATTTAAACAAATTTACCGGCTAAAGAGGCTTTAAGCTGATATAAGTTGAGTCTCGTTTACAACAACATCGAGACTCCTACCAGTTTTAATAAATGTATCGAACATGTGGAGCTTTCAGTCTTCATTGGGTTAAAAAATAATACACTAAATTTATGATTTGTTCTTCGTGATAATATTCTAAAAGTTTAATATTTTTATACGTTTTCTATAAGTCTAATGAAGAGGATTCATGATGTAATCTTACCAAAGCGTCGCAAAAGAACTACCTCAACATCTGACAAGGTTTATGGATAGTTTTCAGAAAAACACTCTTTATTCAAGACTGCCTTAAAACGTGATGGTCAATGTGATTGTGATAAACTATAAAAATACCTGACACGCAAAAAAGTGAAAATGTAAGTTTATTTATTCTATTATTTGAATCTGAAAGGCATATGCATTGGAATATTTTGTAATGTATCATGTGTTCGATGTTGTACGTTGCAAGTGATTAAAGGTGGTGTTGTGAAAGTAAAACTAAAAGAAACTGTTCGAAAATGATATTCGTAAGTTTTTTTCGTATATTAAATTCAGATAAAATCCTTATAAGAGTAGTAATCTAGTAAAACTACGAGCAGAATGACATTTATTTCACGGTAATAAAGAGTAATAAACTATTATTATTAAGTGCGAACATTACAGACCAAAGAAAATCTTGCAATTTTCTGCCAAAGAGTGTCTTAACAACTTTCTCCGTGGGAGATGAGTATTAATGCATTAATTACTTACATCGTCCTTGCTAGGGGGCACATACTCTGGTACTGATTCTGCACCTGAGCCGGACACTGTGGAGGCACCCATTGGGAAGATTCGGGGACGGAGCTGAATGAAAGGGGACACATATGAAACATTTGTACACGCAAAGGAAGCAAGACATGTAGATTCTTTTCTTCAAAAATATGCTGAATGTGGCCTAATTATTTTTATATTTCACATTATCCCAGTAACAACGATAAAACATTTTCGATTTTTTTACGCAAACTTAAAACGGAAATAAGATCTTTTTTTAGATACTTCTTAATTTGAAAAGGACACAAGCCGTAGAAACCTTTTTTCATTTAGTGAGTCTCATTACATAGTATAATTTTCAATTTCCTTAACAACAATATTTTAATTACTTATTAATCAAAAATACCAAAAGTATTTTAGCTTATTTTTGTGAAACTGAATAGTTGACGTTCAATTGTTTCATTCAATCAACCAGGGTTGGAATCAGGAAAACTCTACCTCTCAGTTACAAAATCTAATAAGTTCTATCATTTAATTTCTTAATAAACCAAATCGAATGTTTGTTTTCAAAACCGATCAAATCTACCATTTAATGCAAAACTGACCAAGTCCAAACTCTGATGTTTCAGAAAAGGCTAGCTTTTTCAATTCGCCAGATTGATGGGAACTTCGTAGGCACTCGGTACAAATATCGTATTTTATTTCATCGGCGGGATGCGAAAAGGCAAAGAACCTCTTATCCTACTTGGAGAATAGCATGGAACAAGAGCCCTCGCTATATCGGGCGAACGCTGGCTGATTCATCTCAGAACAAGTATTACCGTTGTATCTGCAGCGACTGGCCAAGAGGTTCTAGAGTTTGAGTCCCATTTTTGGAGAGATCTTCAACCCTAGCAAGAGAGCTAGATCGATTGACCCGATCCTGGAGGGGAATTCTAGCGGCCGGTGCTCTGATCGGTTGTCTCCGATCAACGCCAGGCGAATGCCGAAGCAGTACCCTAACAAACGGACCAAGGACTCTGTTCGACCTTTCCTTCTCCATCGTGTCTCCTCTCCTCTGACACACACACTTACGTGCTCTGCACCACCGCACATGTCGGAAGAATAGACGGGAGATTAGAGCTCGTCCCGGCTGGGGCGGTGCCCCGCTAGAAGGAGATACGTGGACGGGGAAACGTACCAGGACTCGAACCGTGTAGAAGGGCACTGCATCTCACTATCTAGTGGTGGAGAAATAGCCGCCGCCGGGATAAAAACATTCACTATACTAACGGAACCAACGACCATTTCAGTTGATATGCTCCGAAATATCAATTAATTAACGGTCAGCAATTAATGAATCAATTAACAATAAATCAATCATCAATCAATAACTAACCAATCATTAATCGACCATCGAACTACCAAACACTAATAAATCATTAATCAATCAACCATTAATCAATCAATAATCAAGAATCAATCAATATTAAGAAACACTTAATCAATCACTAAATATGTCATTAATCAATCATCAATCAATTCCCATACAAATAACAATTATTCGCCGATTGCCGGCCTGGATAGGTGAAGCCGGTAAGGCTGAAGAATCTCAGCTGCCTCGGCTCGAAAAAGTCGCGGGTTCGTATCACGCCTCGGGCATGAATGTTTGCGTGTTTTCGTGTTGTTCTTCCTACAGTTCCCCTCACATTTACAACAATCACAGTGGCCGCTGTACGACCAAGTTGTTAAAAAAGAGACCTTACACAAATCACCGACCAAGAATCAGTCGTCAATGAGTATCTATCACTCATCCATATGAGGGCGTGGCACCTGTCGGGGGCCCGGGGCGCAGGGAGGCTGCGCGGGATGCGCTCGAGCGAGAGGCCCGTCTGCAGCTCGCGGTGGCAGCGGCTCACCGCCTCCTGCTCGTGCGCGCGCGCGCCCTCCAGCGGCAGCGCGCGCAGCCCCGAGCTCACCGGGATCTCCCACAGGCGCGCGCCGTTCCCTGCGCCAGGCCCCGCGCGCCCGTTCAATTTGAGTTTGCCTTATTTTACGCGGCGAGACTCGGGCCATGAGGCCCGCTCTTCCGTCTGACCACGCAAATTTCGCTACGCTCCTTTCACCGACTAGGAGAGAAAGAAGGTATTTCTTGGGCGAGAAACAGGCGATTTTGAATTTAGCTCAGAGGCGTCATTTAGGCTTAAGGATATTTTACATGCAAGTAAATCTACCAACATGGGACAGCCGGCTTTACTTCCCCTCCGAAGGAAGGCGTACGAAGGATGTTTTCGCCCTTTAAAAATCCATGGCTTCGATCGGGTTTGAACCCGCCAACTTGGGTACTACAGTCCAGTACGCTAATGGTCCAGTACGCTAACAGTCCAGTACACCATGGCCGCCGCACCATCGCCGCCCCGTTACCCCCGCTTCCAGAGCAGTGACCCGGTTGCGCAACCCACAGATAATCGAACACGATCTCTCAACAATATACATTTTCCTACTAATGACATTCAATGTTCCAGATTGATTGTTTCTTTTAGTGATGCCGGGCGCCTCAACTACCAAGGTCATTAGCCGCGTAAGTGTAGTGCATGTTTTGGTGGTGGTGATCTTTCCCTCGCTGTATGGTGAGATCCGGCGCTGACCTACCGTCGGCTAGCGGGGTTTTTCCTCTTCCAGATATCTCCCACCAGCGCGGCACCGCCCCAGCCGGGACAAACTCTAAGCTCCCGACCGGTCTCTTGGCACATGTGTTTGTGTAGTGCGTATGAGTGCAGGTGTGAGCGCGTAAGGGGAGAGGATAGGAAAAGAAAGATGTAGGAAAGATCGCGCGCGGTACATTGCCCGTTTGTTAGGGTACTGCTCCGGTATTCGCCTGATGTTGATCGGAGAAACGACGGAAAACTACCGATCTGAGCAGCCGGTGGCTAGAATTCTTCTCCAGACAGTGATTGAATTACACCTAGCTGAATATTCAAGAGATTTCTGCAATATCGATGTGTATGAAATAATTTTGAAATCAAAGAGCCTCCAACTGCCGCTCTCTCCGGTGCCTGGTGCTTTGCCGGGTATTGAATCGTGCTCTTGGCTGTGTTACTGAGGTCGTTGCATTTACTCTTTCGCCCTTCGGTTTAACACGGCAAAAATAGGCATATTTGTTTGGGCAACCATGCGCGTGGCGCTGTCTAGCGCTGTGCGGCGACCGAGGGAGTTTCTGGGGAATCCGAATATTCTATCTTCTTCCGACTCGCTGCAAGATAATTTTATGAATTTCTCTAGAAATTGAAAGCACACAAATTCAGTTGATGCAGATAATGCATAATTTATGATATTTAGATAATTTGTTTTCATTAGATGTTACATTTATTGATTTAAAATATACCCTTGATGAATTCTTTGTGAAAAAATGGCCGTTATGTAAGGAAGTCCCTTTCTCGGTATATAATATTTCCGCTGGGAGTAGCCTGCATGGCGATCGCTGGTAGGAATACGTGCACGCCCATGTGTATGTGTGTGTGTGTGTGTGTGTGTGTGTGGATGGATCTTGATTACAAAATATACCAAGGTAATGACATTTTCGAAATTAAATAATTTTATTTGTGTGAAACGTGTGGTGCAATGTTATCTAGTCGAAATTAAGCCACCAGTGAAAATCAGAGAGACTACGTGCGTAAGAAGGGCATGTATCTGAACGGTCAAGACAACAGTTATGTAAGTTTCAATATAGACATCCATTTAAAATTCTTTTAATTAATTTGAATTGCTTACATTTTTATTATTTATTCGTTTTACGGCATTTGCAAACTGCATTTTCGTAATTCGACGGAGGTGCAACCAGGGTCACCAGCCGCCACTCGTCTAAATGCAAATTTGTTTCATTTCAACGATAAACGCAAAAAAAAATGAATTAAAGCGATTTCCAGTTTTCTTGGCGAATTGAGTTGTTGGCACTGAGAATTCACTATAATTTTTTCATGATGAAGTGCTTTTAAAGCAAAATTAGTGTATTTGCAGGATAAATGATCAAATTTTGCAAAATTCATTAACCCATTCATTAAGTAGAGATCACTACTCAAGAACCGAACTCTTCACGTGTGAGGAAAAGTATCCCAGGACAAATATCTCGGGAGAATTCGATGACAACTTCGACTGAAGTACATTATCATATAACGTTTTTTCTAAATTGTTAACCACCATAATTTGAGAATAATACGTGCTTCAGGCTACCAAGAAACGAAGCTTTCAAAATAAGACACTTAATTCTTATTTTTAAACATGGAAATATTCCAAGAAGAAAGGATGTATAGTAAACTTCGTACCTAGACTCCAGGATCTAGGATGAGGCTGGCGTTGATGGTGAATGCTACCCCATACATCCCTGAAAAAAGTTGTTCCCAAATATAAGTAAAACCAACAGAAATAATTACACCACCAGCAAAAATATATTGAATCTATTGTTTTATGATTGCGTAACATACTTAGTACATTATGAAGTAAGCGTATTTGGATATAATTTCAGTTCTGCACGTTTTGTTTTGATACAAATTTTCTTTATGCAAAAAATTTAACACCTAACAATAATATACTGTGTTGCAATAAAAGCGTAGAAATACTCTGAAAACAATCTAACACAAAATATATAACACAAAATAAACACAAAATAATGCACCTATTTCGTTATATATATATATATATATATATATATATATATATATATATATATATATATATATATTGCTGTAATGAAAAGTTAGTGAATGACTGCGAACGTCCACTCTAATATGAAGGATGCAAACAAACGTTATACAACTTGAGTGGTCTTACCAACTTATACTAGAAGTTGTACTGATTAAAAACTAGAGTGCTGACAAACGTTTAAGTCATGAGCTGCAGTTACTCTTCAAAGTATGTTAATTTAAGAAACCTAATAATTGAATATTGCACAGTTAAGGTAGTGTACTATACCAGTGGCGTTTTTCGCGAAGGAGTTGTGGGAGATCCCCGTGCGTTTCTTGTAAGGGATCCCCGACTTCAAGAAAACGTGTGCAAGTTGTACTGTTAGTACGTTGCACTTTTTCATATGAAATTCATAAAATAAAAAGGACCGGAATAATGTTCTCCTCGCGTAGTTTCTTCTGAATATACCAACTACAGTAAAACAGTAAAATCGGTCTAAATTGGAATATGTACAAGCCGGTAAACCTGCCTTAACCGGAAAATTTTTTCCAGACCGTGAAGTTAAATGGCGTTTTACACAGCATAAAACGAAACTTGTCGAACGCGGAAACGGAACAGCTTTTCAATCTCTGCAGATAAAAAAAAACCTATGAAACGGAACTTTTGTGAATTTAATTCAATTGGCAGAGAGAGGCAAGATATTTTGAATGGTAAGAATGATCTTTTGGTTTTAAATTCTCTGTGGCATGCGATTTAGGCGTGACCGCAGCACAGGAAGAAGATGGGCGTCCGCTGTCAGCGTAGAATTCGACCTTGGGGTTGCAGTTTCTCTCTCAAGGCGTAGATCGTAGAGGAATTCCCACCCTCCCGGCTCTTTGGACGAAGGAAGGTGGACGTGGGCGGGGGCGTGAAGGTGGGCGTGGCTTCCATCCGTGCGTCTCCGTGCTCCGCGTTGAGAATCGAAACCACTCGGCCAGAGGCATGCGAGGGGATCAGATCATCGAAACCACTTGGCCAGAGAGGCATGCGAGGCTATTAGACCACCGAAACCACTTGGCCAGAGAGGCATGCGAGGCTATCAGACCATCGAAACCACTCGGCCAGAGAGGCATGCGCAAGGCCATTCGAGGCCATGCGAGGGTAACACCTAGCCCGCTGGGCAGCAACGCACTTGTGTTGTAAGATTAAGCGAACAGTCCGACTGCAGTACGGTGGTGTGTATTTTTCATGAGTTTCACAACCATTTCAATAATGGTCGGAAAAAAGATAAAAACTAATATTAGATCAAATGTTAATGTTTTTGAAGAATTATAATAAAGTGATGTTTCTTACGAGTTTCAGAGCTAAATATCCACATTACAAGTGTCAACAAATGGAGACACATACTTCAAACAGAAACCTCTCTAAACTGGAATTGTTTCGTCCCGATCGATTCCGCTTAGACAGGTTTTTCTGTAAAATATTTGCTTTATTGTTAGAGAGGAAATGTATTTTGTAGTTGGTAGCTACGAGAAAAGCTATTTTTGTTACTTGATCGAATTTTAAACTACGTACGCTTCAAACCACGCGAAATCAATCGAAGTAGTTCTGAGGGGGAACTGGTAGCTTGAGCTTCTCTCGCCTGTTAGCTGTGCATATCTCGCAGCTGTTCTTGGCCCAGGAAACAATAAACATTTCAATGTAACTATACAACTCACGCGATAATATCCTTCTCACTTCAACTGATACATAAACGTTTCCCTTTTAACACAATCGACACGACCCAGAGCGGGGGGGGATGTCATAGTCATGAGGCATGTCATAGTCAAGTGCCCATCTGGGGGTCGTTCGGACTAAGGTCTGGGTGGCTCGGGGCCCCCAACCCGTCACCTCACCTTCCTGCTATCGACGTGAGTTCAGCCGTAACCTAGGAAATCTGACAGGGGGGGTTCATGCTCCCCATTGTATATGCGGAATAGACAGCAAATCACTCGCCCAATCCTGTCCAAAGGTCAGCCGAGAGACCCTCAGAACCGGGTGGACATCTCCGCTCCACCTGAAGCCACAGGTCTTTCGAACGTATGTCCCCTCCCCCTCCAGCATGTCTCGCGTGGTCTACCACTCCACACAACCGGCTTGTCCAAACAGGGATTGCTAATCGCGGTGGGCAACTAAGCATTAGTTTTTATTCGCTCCTCCTCCCCCGTCCTCACCAGTACACCGTCAGGTTCGGGACGGCTCGTGGACGAGGGCAGAACTGCTTGAGCACGGTTTAACCTCCTATGAGCGGACGGAAGCCCTTGTGAAAAGGGAATCCGAATCAGTGTCTTTCACCCTTAACGCAAGCCGATGCATGTTATCTAATTTGCGTCTTTCATTTTGTAGTAAATTTACACACACAGCAGCGCCTATACCAGGGAGGTTCTTGGGTTCGAATCCCCTCGGTGGCAGGATCTTCGACACTATTTGTCTGGGATAATTTCTGCCTAGTCTTCAAGTAGTAAAATATTCATTAGACATCTGTTAGGATGCAAAACATCGTGTTGTTTGACAAGAGAGTCACATATTTCCCCTCAAAAATCTTACTCATGTCGTGATGTTCAGAGTGTTCCGCGATTGCAAAATCATTAAAAGTACGAGTATTTTTGGAATTTACCGTGAATTTGTGTGTGTGTCTGTGGGGGGGGGAACGGTTGAGGGATATTTGGTTTGTAATCTACGTACAAACCCGTTTGAGGTAATGAAATGTGAATTGTATGTTGTTGAAGAATTGCTTTCCAAATAACCTGTTTTAAGGGTTGTAACAGCAAATATTTACATCGTATTAAACACTGATGGTTGAATTGATCCACGAATCGTTTACCTTCTTCCTTGTCTCTGATATTGTTCTTCCTCTGATGATCCCAAGGGAGGCATGGGAAGAAGCCTGCACAAAAATATTTTTTTTCTAAAGCATGCCACCTAATTTTGGAGAAGTTACAAACTTTCTGAAGAAATGAGAGCGTAGGCTTCCGCGGCCGGAGTCAGTATTTACTAGGCTGTCCGGGTGACGCCGCGTCCATGGCGACGGTGCCGACGTTTCGGTCGCCATTCTGCGACCTGCAGAATGGCGGTCGCAGAATGGCGACCGAAACGTCGGCACCTTCGCCATGGACGCGGCGTCACCCGGACAGCCTAGTAAATACTTTCGGAAGAAATGTTTAATAAGAAAGTGAGTTATGAAGTTATAAATATTTTCACGAATAAGAATTATATTTATTTTTACGAACGCGACGAAATCTCCTAATTTAAATAATGAAAACAGAATAATATTCTAGAGCAGGCAGGGCCGAATTGACTGTGGTGTGGATACCTTAGTGGGATAATCACAGGAAAATATCAAAAACGCTTCAATACTAATTGAATCGGTTAATTTTAAAACTCCGTAAGTCACATCTTAACACACACTAACCAATTTTGTGAGAAAATAGAAGCTGCAGGATAGATGCATCGTTCTACGTGTGAATCAAGTAAATCAGTTGAATAGAACGACAGTGAGACAGTGCATGTTTTGGTTTGGTTTTGAAACTCTGTAAATCATTGATTTGCGATGTATATAAGACTGTGTATGTACGTATGTATGTGTACAGAGTATATGACATATTACTGACAGAGAGATTAGGATTGGTTAAAATGGATATTCAATACGTAAATACATATATGTACTATCATAGAAACACTTACTTCAAACAACTGTTTCTGTCATATGAATCATGTTTATGAAGATGCACATTGCAATTTCACATAATATGCGTATTGTAATAAATGTGTCAAATTACAAACTGAACCTAAAATGTGTATTTATTTACATGGTAATGTAAACAAATCCGGATTTTTTTTTGAAATCCAATGAGTGAAAAACGTTTACAAAAGTTCAGCGACTATTGTACTATGTTACAAGTAAATTACGTGTCTCCATAGCACTCTCAATCAAGATTTATTCATCAGAAATTAAGAAAATAGAGGAAAGTTATTTTTGTACATAATTAGTCAGTTTTTTCTTTTTTTCCCACAACTTTATAATTCCTAAATTCTGGGGTTTTAAAAATAACCGATTCACTTAAATGTATTAATTTTCGGTAATCATATTATACAATATATTAACTATGTTAATGAGGTACTTTCCTTAAGTTTCTTCCGGTAAAACCTATCGTCACAAACACATCGTCAAAACTTATTTCTCTCAGAATTTCGCAATTGCTTCTTAAAATAGCAAAATCGATATCTAGTTAATGAGGTTCGAAAGCTGTTTTTAACTATTTTTAAATTTGAAAACCATCTTTCAGTATTACAATTAGTTATCACCAAAATAAGACAATTTTTTAAAATTATTTCTATGTTAGGGAAATCATCCTGTACTTGCTTTTGTGTTATTGCCTTGTTATCTGTCATAAAAACAAGCTATAAGAAGATAACATAAAATATTATAAAAATGAAATTAAAACAAAATAAGAGTATAAACTATATCACAATTTTGTAATGAAATAATTAAAATCAAAATACTTGAATACAAATATGGTATTCCAATGACAAAAAAATGCGAATTTGGTTTACATCGTGTGACTTCTTAAAACTCACAATTCCCCCCTTGTTTTGTATTCGGTGGGGGCCCCGTTTTGGTGGGTGCCCTTCTGCCGACGCCTACCTTGCCCATCCTTAGGACTCATTCACAATACAAACATACGTACGTAATGCTGTAAATTAACATCCAGAATTTGAATTATTGTTATAACATGACATTTTAAAATTGTATTGATGAAATTTCAATTGTAAAGCAAAAACAGGAACACCCACACACAAATAAGGTTTGTTCAACCAACTACAAGGCAACCCTTGTAGAATTTAACTACCCTGGATTAGGCCCCTTACGAGACATTTAATGGCTAAAAATAAAAAAATGAAGAAATGCTGTAAACATAGCAGTAAAATTTATACGTGAAAACAAACATTCACAATGACGAATTTAAGTTTCGTCTGAAAAAAACGGAATTCACCGTACTGAAACTAGATCGATTTGTTTCTATCTTGGAGGAAAGATCATCCTATCATGGTTTCTAGCTTTTACTTCGACTGTTCTATCAATGTGTCTTTATATACAATATGCGAGGAGCTTTTGTATTAGTGCTCGCATTTCCTTTATTTTACAAACAAGGATTGTCTTGTAACATGACAATCCTTGTTTTATTCACCATGTCAAGTTAAAGTCACAAGAAAAATCAACCAAATACTTTGGATTCACTCTTCGCATCAAATTCGTTCGCAAACTAATTCGCTACCTAACAAAAACAAAATGACAAACACAAACAACCTAAACACAGTCGACCTTTCATTTGTTCCTCGCGATTTCGTGTGTTTGTTTCTTTCATGCTGCTCTCTGGTCTTTGGCAGAATTCCGATATAAAGTTAACGAAAAGCTTGGTGCTTGAAAACTCTTAAGTTACGACTACGGTTACGTCAAGGCGTTGTGAATGGTCTCGCTTAATAACTCATTTCTAGGTTTTGCGGGAAGCTTTACCTTTACGTTGAAGTTCGCATTGTGAATGAGGCTTTACATCCGGCCATGGGCGTAGGACCTATTTTTGTAATTACGAAAATGACGAAAGTTCAAATTGTTTTCGAACCTATCCTACCTTCATTATTTGCTAGAACTGTCTTTCGAAAGCAAGTTCGCTGGGCTTCAATGGCGGCAAAATCGATCTTGAAATCACCATTTTGCCTAATGATCGGTTTAGGCGCTTTTGTCTTCCCCAGACGGAAGGACGGACGAACGGACACAGAACATTTTAAAAAATCAGGTATCACAAAATGAGTACTTCAAAATTTCGAAATCTACAAGTTTTTATCCACCATTATAATACTTTATCTGTATCTGCGTATAGAAAAAAGTAATTGAATTTCTAACTAGCGCCAAAACACACACACATTTCAATTTTATCGCTTGATGCTGACATTGTCGAAAAACATGGTAGTATAATGTCCTTAGTTACAAATACTGGCAACCAAAATATCCCAGCTACATCAATATATTGTTTTATATAATAAAAACATGTCTTCCCCTGCGTTACATTATCACCAGGTGACGAATTATCAAATCACGAGAGGTGTCCCTGGGTAAAGATATTTGGAAGCACCTACCACATCATTCGAGGCTTCTGACTGTAATCTTCATGTGGCATCACTGTCGAATTCAAGAAGCTCCTACAACATAAATCAAATATTTCTATACTACTCTTTCATGTTTCCTTTTTACTTTCTTACATTCGACTTGTCGTGTAGAAAGTATTGAGATGTTGCGAGGGAAACCCTGGATCCTTGATACCGATACATTGGTTGACGGCAAAACTTCTTTCTGTACGTCCGTCTGGGGATAAAGCAAACGCCTAAACCGTTCAGAAAATTCTCTCCAAAATTGATATTCCCCGATCAATCTAAGTGATCTTGAGGTCCTGCGAGTTTGACGTGGATATTTTTGATTTTTAGAAGTACTTTACTAGAAGCCTTAACAACTTTGTTTCATAAATTGTCGATGAAATCGGATAGATTGCATCGGATAACAAAAATGCTGAAAAAATGGCTCAAGTCTCGTGTTCATTGAAAACTTTGAATTTTCTAAAATTGCAAAAGTTCAACTTTTTTTTTGGCGCCGCCCTACAATTGCATTATTAAATATATAGAGTTTTTGAATAAATATGTTTTCAAAGACATGCTGGAATAAGATCATATACAATTTTCAAAAATGTGAGTTGTGCGTGAAATATAACAACTTTTAAACAATTATTTTCTCAAAAACTGTTTCAATTTTTTCTTTAAATTTTTTTCTCATACAGTAAAATCGTGCTGGTTTCATTTTTGGCTCTGTTTTCGAAATCAGGATCAAGAGAAGAGAGGCAATCATATTTCTGAGCCCCTTTTCCAATAGTGTTTACTTACACATGACATACCAGCAAGTAGATAAAGCATATAATGAGAGATAAATTATAACTCTAATTTCTGATCTTCTAATTCTAATCTAATTTCTTATTAAAAGTATATCTTTAAAAAGTCATGTTCATTTTTTTGGAAAAACGAGTAGTTTCCGCGTAATTTCTACTCAAAGTTAATTCAATTTATATTTTGTTTATAAATTCCTGCAATTCTTTTCTTGAAATATTTTCTTCGGGTAGAGTAAAGGCTGTGTAAAAAATGGTGCGGGACTTATTGTCGTTGAGTCCCCTGACTATTCAAAATTTGCATAACTTAGAAATAATGCAAACTATTCGTTTTTCAAGCGTCAGAAAATATTAACATCTGTTATAGCATCAATAGTTACTTTCTCGCGAACTGTGGCGCCTAAACTGTTCAGACGATTTACTCCAAATGTGTTATTCCCTCATCCATGTTACAAATCTCGACCCCCCTCCCCCCCCCCGGATTTGAAATGGATATTTTTATTTGGGTGTTCTTTGGATGAAGTCTCAACAATATTTTCAAAATGGCTCCAAATTTTTACATTACTTTTGCATCGAATGGAGGGAAGAGCGCTTTAAAGAATGACGAAGGTCTTCTTTTTTTTTGAAATCTGGATTTTTAACATTTGTAAAAGTTTACTGCGACCGTCATTTTACAACTAGAAATTAAAATATAAAAATGTCCGTAATGAATTCTGTTCTTCAAAGTCAGTTTAAAAGCAGTCATCACAATATTTCAACAATGTGAGTAGTTTTTGTGTAACCTTTTATAAAACATACTAATTTTTAATTTCCCGTATAAATACATATACAGAGATCGAATACAGAAAGTTAGATAATGTTGCGCGAAACAATGGCGGATTTTCGGCAGAAAACATTCATTGCCACGCCTTAATAACGAAAAAGTTGATAAATCCAGTTGCTAAAATTAAGAAAAAAATCCTCTTAAATATTTTGTGAGCCCTTGGTAACAAAAACCAATTGACGGTAAAACGTTCATCCGTCTGTGTGTCAGTCTGTGAACACCACTAGCGTCTAAACTCTACGTACGATTTTTTACAAAATTGGTATCCTCCGGTCAATTTGGCTGCACTCGAGGCGCCACGATTGAAAAACTTTCTTCAAAATTCGGAGGCATTATCAAAATTTTCTCTAAATCAGGGAAGAAACTCTTGTGGTTCAGAGCCAATGGCTGTTGGGCGTTCAACGGCCTTGCTACTACCCCTCCACAAGCTACTTTCCCTGCCGCTGAGTGTCGTGTATCCCCTCCTCAACACAACTGAGCTCTGTAAGTTAATTTCTTGAAACGGATCGGAGCGGCCTACAGAGCTAATACGTAGGCTTTCTGCAAGGTGTTGCCTTTTCGCCCCCCCCCTTACCCCCACCCATTTTCGCTGGTTTTTATTACATCAATTTTTTCACACACACACACACAAATACATATATATATATATATATATATATATATATATATATATATATATATATATATACCATGGGCTATAATTTATCAAAGATTTACCAAATGATAATAATTCAGGATTACTTATTTACTAAATAATTAGATGTTAACTTGACTCGGTTTATCTTTTCATATTTCCTTTCCAGAATTCCCTCCATTAGAGAACATGCAGCATCATTTCACTTTTTTATTACTTCCCTCGTCACCAGGGTCCTCAAGATCCATAAAAGTTATGCAGTATGCATCGAGCTCCATATCGAATGCAATAATAAGCAATAAAGTATCAGCAAAATAATAAAAATAATCGTACTTACGGAATAATATTCTCGTCCATGGCTTTCGAATGTTGCTACTTCATTCAGAAGCTAATTCAGTAATAGTATTACTTTATAAGTCAGTTCTGATTCTTCTGAAAAAATAAAAAAATTGATACAACGTACGGATTTCACTTCTTCCCAAAGTATGTTACACATTGTTTGTAACTTTTTGGCATTAAATAAATTAATTTGAATTATAACATATAATCGTGATTTTCATCGTCAGGATTAAAATTAAATTAAAAAAAATTAGTATGAAATGAATCACGTGTCTTCTAGTTTCTAAAAGAATTTGACTTCCGAAAGATCCAAGTATATTTTTATTACGATCGGTAAATTTTTTATATAAGTTGTTGACCATACTTTAAGAAACGAGAAATGCAATTGTTGTGCTTTATTAGAAACAAATAAGGTTTAGAAGATCCTCACGAGAAATTAGTTTCGGGAAAAAGTAGATTTATAGAGTAATGATTTATACAATATTTATTTACGTCAAAAACAGTTAAAAACTGTGTGTGACGTGCTATGGAGAGAAATTAACATTAAGTAACATTTACATCCAGAAGCAAATCAAGGGGCCATCTCAGCATTTCCTCAAGGATCAGGGAAATGGACGAAAACCTGATCGAGATGGGGTCATTGACCCAGAAGCTGAAGTATATACTTGTTACAGGTTCTTTAGAATTATGAAAATTAGAAATAAATGATAACATACATTTTTCTGTTCGTTATTTTACATTCTTTACAATCTGTATTTTTGGTTTAAAGACTTAATTCTTCAGTGATTGAATGCACCTCATATCAACTCCTCCTCTTCTTTGTGTGCTTTTGAATTCTTAAGTCTAGTTGTGCGGGGAGGTTTGCGAGGAATCATCGTGGATGCGTTGGCGTTGGTGTTCCTTCCAAAACTGTACGTATTCTCGTGTACAATGCAGGGCCGTAGCCGTTGCGAAGACGTGACCAAGCAATATCCGTTGCTACACCGCAGACAATGCAGAATTCATTGCGACAATTGCTTCCTCATGCGACAAACAAACGGACTAAGGTGGCTCAGGGCATTGACTGATGCCACTGCAGTGCGTCTGAGCAAGAGGTCATGAAGTTCGAGTCCAGGCAGTGGCAGGATTTTCGACAATAGCTAGACAGTTTGATTGAGTTCAGACGCTGTCTGGAGAAGACGTATTGTAGCCGGCTGCTTTGATCGATAGTTTTCTGTGGTGTCTCCAATCATCACCAGGCGAATGTCGGGGCAGTAGCTTAACAAACCAGGCCCAAGCGCGAACTTTCCTTCCTCTTCCTGGTCCTTTCCTAACCCCACACTTACACACCCTTACACTTACACGAGTTATGTAAGTTTGGCTGGCAGGATCTTCGAAGTAACTAAGACACTGACTTTTTCCCAAGAAGTAAATTTATTTCACAGTTCAGTACATTAGGTTGTTAGAACTTACAACTAAGATACGAGAGCGCTTGCAGGGCTCCCCCTGTATTTATGTGCTCCGAGGGCGCGTGTCATAAGGAGAAGGGTATGGATCGGGAGTGCGGCGGTGACGCTGCAAGATCTATTTTTATACATTTCAAAATTTGGTAAGGACGGTCTTCGGAGCTCCCTGATTCACAGTCGATGTGAGTCAGTCTCTTCGTTTCCTTGTTCGTCATTGCGAACCCCGAAGCTCCCTGGTTCAGTCAATGTGAGTCAGTCTCCTCTTTTCCTTGTTTTCGGGCGTCCGCGGCGCCGTTGTGAAATGTTGCTTTAGAACTAAGGTGGTGTAGGGATGGCCGCTTGTGTTGTACTAGCGGGCGGACATGACTCACGCACTACTCGTCCCGGAAGACCGGTCGGGAGCCTAGAGATAGTCACGGCTGGTGCGGTGCCCCGCTGGTGGGAGATACCTGGTTGAGGGAAACCTCGCAAGCCGACGCGTCGCAACGGGGGGTTCGGACATGGCTATTTAAAATATTTTTTTAGACAGCCACTAGCCAAAGGGGTTCTTTAAGGTCATGCAGAGCGTGCTAAAAGTTCAATTTTTAGCACTTGTGGCAAAAGTGAGTCGATGGACAAGTGTTTAGATAAATCTGTGAAAGAAACAAAGAAAACAAAATACTTAAGATCACGCACATTTTTTGAAAATACGAGTATTTTCATGTACTTTTTGCTTTTTTTAATTTTTACCACGGACGATTAAAAAATTGAAGCAATTTATTCAGAGAACTCTTGTTTCGAAAATCGTACTTTGTTGACGGAGATTTTTTCTTCCGTGGTAATCCGATCCTTTCTTCTGAAACCTGTATTACAAATTAATTTTAAAAGTAAAATCTTAAATCCTTTGTAAAAGATTTCGAAAAAAGCAAACGAGTATTTTTCGGATATTTTTTGCTTGAATAAAAGGCAAATTATAAAATTGTCTCAAAAGCGTCACCAAAGACGCTTAAAAATGGCGCAGGTCTTCTTTTAGTGAATTTTCGAAAATTTCAAAAGTTAGAAATAATGAGAATGTATGTGCTGTTGTAGAACTGTCAGTTAAAAATTAGTAATTTAATTTAAAATTAGTTATTTTAATATTTTAACAAAAAATCCAATTCAAAAAATTTAAAATATTTATTAAAACTAAATGTTTACAATTTTAAACACAAAGTTATAAAAGTAGCAGTTCCATGCACTCACACTGGACCAGTCCCATAGATTGACGTACTAATATTGTGACGTCATGGATACTCACAGCGACCACAGACATAGAGCTTTCGTATAACAATATATTTATTAACAAAGAAAACAAAACAAATATATACACTTAATAATCTACTTAAACCCTAGCTCTGATAGACCTACTATCCCCTGATCGCGGGAGCGATCCAAAACCCGATTGAAGATGGTTTTGATTGTGGCATTCGCCACTCCTACTTTTGAAGCGCGCACAAAGCCTAGCTTCCGTGACCGGATGTTACGCTGGGACACAAACTCCGTTCTGGCGCACCAACGGCTGGTTTGCCTCGATCGCAGGAGCGATCTTACCCGATTGAGAATCGGCGTGAATCGTGGCACTCAACCACTCTTCACCTCGGAGCACGCAAACAGCATCGCTCCCCCGTGACCGCAGTCACCCAAGGACATGAAGTCCGCAGGCTTCGTCAACTAATGACTCCAGCCTCGCGAGCCTGGCTCGCATATGCACCGTCGTGGCGCCAAGTTTTGTGCACACGCACGAGGTTCTCCCACCGTCTCCAGAACCTACCTACTGGCTCCGTACACTCTGTTATATAGGCGAGGCCCACGTGACCTACTACGTCACGCCACCCCCTCGCTTGTTATAACAGTGAAAAGCTTCTATAAGCCGGAAGACACCCAAAGCCTTGTGTCTCCCGTCTCCGCGTTCTTCCCTTTACGGAAAAACCCTTCTTCCTGTGGCAAGGCTAATCCTGCCAAGCGTCCCCAAATAGATGCCACGAGGCACGCTGGCTAATACGTTACAATATAATGTTCTGACTGATGAGAGTAAAAGAATATAAAATATTCTTTAAAAATTATGTTTAATCCTCCTTTGGTATCTTAAAAATTATAACAAAAATATTATCTCTCTCACAATTCATAAAAGTCCCTCCTGATCTTGAGTGGAGATGTTTTATAGTTTTGAATTATCTTCATCGTGAAGTTCTCTTGCACTTACGCATACATTCATGGTATACGTGTCTCATTCTAAGAAGATACATCTTGGTAAATCTTTGGAAATGCTTTATATTTTTTTTAAACAAAATACACTCTTAATAAGTTTAATTGAAAATACAACTAAATTAATATTTCTCAAAAACTTAAAAGCCCTTGGTGTCCATTTTTAGTTATGAAAGTTTAGGATGAAAAAGGGCTGCCATGAAATAACATCACTTTAAAAGTAGAGAGAAATGATTGTAAGACAATCACATGCAAACGATGATCAAATTATATAACTTAATGGGTAATACCTTTCTAATCACCATTATTGTAATTAATTGCTTTTAACCCCACATAGAAAACCTCTTTTCGGTTAAACGAAGACGGTGTTCCATAAAGAAATTAAAACGTTTCTTAATTACCTTTGGAAGTTTATCAAACTTAGAATTCGAAGGATATTCAAATTCCCTTAGATTCAAATTTCGAAACCAATATGTAATACTCTCGGGCAACGACTTCCAGGTCGGAAAGGTCTTCTTATCAAAAAACTGGTGAATGGAGTTCCAAAACAACTCATAATCCATTATTTTCAAATGAAACACCCATTCAGGGGCAAAACCAGGCATGTCTTCGTATGATTCAGCGGCAACACCGCATTTGTCGCAAAGGGCTCGAAATTCTTCGGGAATGCGGTCGAAGGTGGGCCACTTCTTCTTCTTGAAAAAGAAGTCCACGAAATCCGCGAAGAAGTCGGGCGCTTGCAGCCGAGCGAAAATGACGAAGCCAGGCACCAGTCGAAAGATCTCCGGAGCCGAAGTCACGACCTCACCGGTTCCATCTGGAACGTCATCGCTATCAACGGCCGTCGATCCGCATGGCCGAGACTTCTGCTCCCTTTCGTTCCTGTGGGCAGTCGACTCCGGTTATAGCGAACTCGGATATAGTGAACTATCGGTTATGCTTCGCTTACATTACAAGATTCGGTTATAGTGAACACAATCTCGTAGGAAACACGCCCTGGAAATGAATTCCCTTCTGGAAAAATATCATCGGCCAAAGGTCATAATCCAAGAAGGTGGAGATAGCGGAGCCGAAAGGTTTCATTGAGCGATCAGTTCAATTAGCGGCTTGCGCCATGCCGCAACCGAAAGGATCTCGAAGTATGTTATTAGGTGTGTAAGAGGGTCCCGAAAAGAGTGAGGGTGTTTCAACAGGACAAGAGGCATTTAAAAGGGTCAAGACTGCATTTCGATATTCAAGGCAGAATCAAGAACGGAGAAAGCATAAACTCGAGAAAGATGTAAAGAAATTACTAATGAAAAATGTACGAAGCAAACAATTGAAAATAATTTACGTTTTAAGGTCAAATATTCAAATTCTCGTGTTTTATGCATTTTATGCGTGCTGTTAATGTATTCGTGCTGTCGTATTTTGTTCATCATGAACAAAATATGAGAACATTATCAGCACGATATACATAAAACTCACGAACATTTCAATATCTTTATTTGACCTTATATCTTTGTAATCTTTATATCTTACATATCTTAATTTCACCTTCATATTTTTTGTACCTCTATATTAATAAATTTAATAATTGTGGAGAAATTCTATTTATTATTGAATAATCGGATATAATGAACCAGAAGTACTAGTCCCCAGAAGTTCACTATAGCCGCAGTCGACCATATTACGTGTTTCCAAACAGGTCAACTGATAAGTTCATTAGTCCCGTAAGTGTAGTGCAAGGAAGGTGGTATCACGCGAGAGGGTATGATCCGACGGCGCCGACCTACACGTCGGTTTCCGCGTTTTCCCCATCCATATATCTCTCTCGCTAGCAGGGCACTCCCCAGCCAAGTCGAGCTCTAAGCTCCCGATCGGTCTCTCTCGACATGTGTGGTTGAGAAGTGCGTGTTAGTGTAAGTATGTCCACTTAAAGGGGCGCGGAAAGGACAAGGAAGAGGAAGATTGAAATGTTGCGCGCGATCCGTGGCTCGTTTGTTAGGGTACTGCTTCGAAATTCGCCTGGTGGTGATCGGAGAAGCAACGGAAAACTACCGATCAGAGCAGCCGGCTGCTAGAATTCGCCAGACTGCTGCTGAACGCGTTCTAACAATTCAGTGAACCACCAAAACATGAAATTGAAAGCATCGCTATTATTTTATTTGTATATTCACTCTTTCGCTTATTCCTTTATTCTTATATTCATTTATCGACTTCTTCATATGAAAATAACCATACTATGTGTGAAAGTATAGAACACTCAGCAATTAGATGGAATTGTAATCATTTTTTGCAGACGTTTCTTGTAAATATTTTTGGCCTCTTTGGAGCAACTGAAATTAATATAATGTTTTTGCTTTAGTGATCAAATGACAATAATACATTACAATTAAGTATCTAAAAGTTACCTTTAGGCAATTAATTTATCATAGTGATATGTTTTGGTCACTGAATAAGAGCAAACTGGTATTTTAAATAAAATAACATTTGTAAATATAATATACTTTTTTAACAATCTATATAATATAAGAAAACACTGAAGTGGTTGAGGGGCGCGCTGACTTCCCATTCGGGAGGCCTGTGTTCAATCCCCGTGCCGGCTATCCTGACCGGAGTTTCCGTTTTGACCTCGGTCACCCAGGCGAATGCTGGGATTCTTCCACTGAAAGGCCATGACCACGAAACCGGCGTCGCCAGCCAAATTCGGTAATTACGTTGTCACTAAGATTAAACGAATTTGAGATATCGCGGGTTCCTGGTTAGCCGACTAGGAACCCGGGGCCGAGGCCAATAGCCCTTTACGGGATATACTCGTAAATGGCTAAAAACAAATAATTTACCAAAAAAATCATTTTTTTCTCAAATCAGCGGAATGAGAGTCTAGCTACTAAAAAGTGGTACTTGTATGCTCGAAAATCCCCCGTCCTCTATACTGCTAAGATTCGCGTCATACCTTATTGCCGGTTCAGTTGTCTCTGATGATCTCGGTTCTGGAGAATCCTGAAACACGGCCGTTATAATAGCGTTGGTAGGCTGCTTGAAGAGACAAACCTCCAAAGATGCCAAGGCGAAGTCTCGCAATGTCATAAACTTTTTAAAATCGTTTTTTAGACAGCCACTAGTAAAAGGGGTTTTTAAGGGCACGCATTCGAATAGTGCGCTAAAAGTTCAATTTTTAGCACTTGTGGCAAAAGTGAGACGGTGGGCAAGTGTTTAGATAAATTTGTGAATGCAACAAAGGAAACAAAATACTTTCGTCTGACCGCAATAGTTACTGATCGTTAGGTAATTAGTTAACTCGAATTAAAATAAAAATCAGTAAGACTGTCTAAAAATAGTGTATGACACACGTGGTAAAAGTGATTTTATTTTTTATTGATACGTCATTGCTTGTTATTGCCGTATAAACCGAGCTCCATAAATACTGCACAACTTACCTGGATAGAGAGTATCGTAGTCAAAAGGAATTATTAAAAGGGCTCGATGATGCTATACGTTATTTTATGGAAGTAAGAGAGGGAAGTATGAAAGGGAATTACGTAAGGGAAACATTAACAGACAAACCGAGTCAATTCAACAACCAGGTAGTTAGTAAATAAATTCTGAATCAATAAAAGTAGTAAAAAATAAAATCATCTTTGCACCACGTGCGTTTCTAATTATCTTGGACGACAAAAAGCAAAAGGTTCTTTGGTCCTAGATCATTAGAACCCATATAACGCCCTTGATAGATTATTACTGTTTTGCTCATAATAGGATTGCGCCACTCAGGCTGTCGGCGTCGTGTCGCAATCTTTCCTACTCGCAAAATAAAATACAACCTTTTCTACTCGTATCGTAAATAACTATTCTTTTTCTGAGCATTAGTTCCTTGCATTCCAAGCATTCTTAGCAGAATGATGATTTTGACAGCCCGTTTTTTGGCAGAACTGTCCCCCCAGAATTGAGTTGAGGATGAGGGGATCCTTGTTGATTTCTGGACTTTAATATAGTTTCACTACGTACCCCTATTGTTAAGTTCTTCTTTTGTTAGTTTTGATAAAAGTATAGTCGAAGTTGTAGTTTACCATTTCGTTAGCTATAGTCAAAAATAAAATCTGTGATTCGTTTACCGAAGCAAATACGTTTCCTGTAACTCGGACGTAAGAATGTCTGGTTTTCAAATGTTGCATACTATGTTTGTCAGTACGTTTATTCATCATTCAACTATTTATTGTTGAAGGGTGGGGAAGAGATTGTGGAATTCAAGAAAACGTGCGGAAAACGCCAACATACGTTACATGCTTACGTTTTTACTGTTATCTTGATGAAAATAAATCAAATCAAATGATGAAAATGGAACGCGACGTAAAAATCCTGTGAGGTCCGTAACCCACCGAAATAATGTAAGGTGCTGCCCCGGCGTTCTCCGAGATGTGATGAGCGTAACACTGATCATAACAGTCGGTCTATGAATATTCTTTTATTTGGTTTATTTAAGATCGCATTAATGTCAAGTTCGAGTGATCACATGATTGATTTTCAACCATGCGATAGTCAGTTGTCAAGAGAACAGGTAGCCGTCATCCCCGCCTACGCGTCACTTACACGCGCTCCTGCGTCACTTCTCAGTGGCCAGAATTCGGAAGGACTTAGGATAGGGGTAGGATTTAGGACGCTTCTTTGGACTAGCCCCTGTGAAGCAGGCGAACTCGTCTTGTTGAACCAAATTTCACACGAGATTGTCTGGGAACAGAATCCAAACCTTCGTGGTGAGAGACGAGCGATTTCGCTCTGAGCCACTGGAGGCCTGGCCGAAGAATTTAATTTCGACAGGCGCAACAAAGCCATTGCTGTTAAAAACGTCAAGTACAGTGCGTCATGAAAGTCCTTCAGCACTCAGCCGAAGCAGGGACGCCTACTAAAACTTTCAGTTGTTGGCGGCAACCTGATCACTGGGAAACAAGTGAATGGAACAACACTTCCAGCATCTAACTTGATCGTGCTGAGTATGCAATTCACGTTTTCCTTTCTTCCAAGCTGCAGCTTGCGCTACTGATATAATTTCTGTTGCACGCACCCACCAGCAAGGTTCCACTGCGAAGAGACTCCTGGTGCGCTGTATCTTTCATTATATTTGTCTGTATCTATCTGTCTATATATGTCTGTATCTATCTACCTATCTGCCAATATATGTCTGTATCTATCTACCTGTCTATATATGTCTGTATCTATCTGCCTATCTGTCTATATATGTCTGTATCAATCTACTTATCTGTCTATATATGCCTGTACCCTGTATCTATCTGTACAAATATAAAATAAATTTCTGTGTCAAGCCTGTGCGATTTGTCTTCTCTAATCGGCTTCATCATTACTTTCACTCCCATGACTGAATTCAAATGTTTTCTGATCGCATCAATGAATTTTCTGCACAACAAGTCTTCAGACGTGAATATTAAAATATCATCATATGGGTAAATAAAACGTCGAAGATTCTTGTCTGTGCGATTCAATTCAATTATATTAATGAATTGTGCTGAGTTCTTGGAGAGTAAACTCTACGAATGTATACTTTATCTCAGGTTTTTGGAAAATTGATGCGAGGAGACCAGCCCGATTACGGTTTCACACGTCACCGATTTTCAGCAATGAAGAAAACATCGACGCAAACTTCAAAATACAGCATTTGCATTCATCAAATGCACGAAAGAGTTGTAAAGTCCCATACAGCTACCTTTTCTTCGTCGTTATTGTTAGATGAGTCTGATTCATCTGTCACGTCAGAGGCTACAGCACTTTTGAGTGATACCTGAAAAAGAAAACAATGGCCATGATAGTCAATCAACATCATTTTGATAAACAGCTTAATTCAATTACTTTTTTAACACGTTCAGTCGCAGTGTATACTTTGAACATATTCAGCAGTCTTAAAAATATCAAATCGCCTACCAACTGTTGCATATTCAAAGCCTTATTCAATTCACATCGCCCCAAAGTAATTATGCATTCGGAGCATTTGTGTGTGTGTGTGTGTGTGTGTGTGTGTGTGAGAGAGAGAGAGAGAGAGAGAGAGAGAGAGAGAGAGAGAGAGAGAGAGAGAGTGCGCGAGTGTGTGTGTGCGCGCGCGCGCGAGTGTGTGTGTGTGTGTGTGTGTGTGTGTGTGTGTGTTTAAATAGAATTAAAAACTCCGAATCTTGAACAAATTTCTAGTTTTAAAATAGGTGCGAAAAATTGTTCATTTAAAGTTGCAAATTAAAATATTAACCATTATTTATTTCATATTAGACTAAGATGTTTAGGTAATTGGTAGTTCTGTAAGCCCACAAAATTGTATCATCTACATACTTCCAATGGTTTTAGAGAATATTAACATACGTGTTTCAAGAGTAAAACATATTTACTTCTTCTTGATGAAGCATTAGGCCCAGAGGCCTGTTGTGGCTCATATTCCTGACACTACCTTATGACTAGACACTCCGCTCCCCGTCTCCCTCGAAGTCGGAAGTCAATGATGTTTTTTGGCATTCTGCAGTCATCCGTTCTCGGTATGCTGTTTAGCCACTAATTGCTGTATTCGCCTATATTTTTAAGAAATCGGCGAGCCGGCGGACTGTTTCTCATCACTTCATTTGTTATGTGATCTAATTTAGAAACCCCTGCAATTCTTCTCAGGAAACTCATTTCGGCATCTTTTATTCAACTTCTGTCTAATGCAGTCATAATGCTATGACACTGTCTTGGAGAAATTTGATTTACTTGTCCGAGATAACGATCAAGTAATAATTCCGGCCGATACTTCACAATTGCAGAGGTAGAATATCCAGGTAATGCCGTTTAATACTTGAGGGTGCGGCGGGTTGCGTACAGAGCTTCCGTTCAGGGGCGTTAGAGTCAGCACAAACGCACATATGCAATCATCATGGCCTATGTGCGACAGACATACGCACATTCCCATTGTACTACGCCTTTATTCATGAGGAATTTTAAACTAATTTTCACAAAAAAACTTTGAGTTTTCAACAAACTTCATTCGCAATCATTTTAAGCACAAATACAATAAAGTATTAAAACATCCGTATTATAAATAGTAACTTGAGAGATATTTAAAACAAAATAATTTCTGTTCTTTTATCTAAATCAATACGTCAAAATAGAATTTATCCGTACGCGATGCTATTCAGTGCACTTACAACTATCCTTAAAAGGATAAAGTTTACTTTGGAGCCATTTTTTATACAATCTTGCTTTTAATACAACCCATATTCAACTCAAAACTGATCATAAACTAATATTTTCAAAAAAAGGATTCGACATTAATTAAAGAGCTAACCAAGGAGAACAAATTTGTATATTCAAGAAAAAATGTGTATATTCCATAATGCAGTTTTACGATGAGGACCAAAACCTCCAAACTTTTGCAATTTAATAGAAATTTAAAGAAAAAAAAATTGGAGGCATTTTGTAAAAATGTAGACAATGTCACAGAAAAACAAATTTTCACTAAAACAATTGTCGTTTACGTCATACAGTGTTTTCGGAAACTGAGGTAGAAAAATGCTTGACTAGACTACTTTATTTGCTTGAGATTACTGTTGTACTCATGTAGAAGCGTCCTTCAGTGATTAACTAAACATATTACCTCCGAGAGTTCATTCCAAGATGGAACTTCATCTCTGCGCTGATCGCGAATGACGTCATGCAACCAATCACTCACTTGCGCTCCCGAACACCCAGCGTCCTGAGTACAGAGAAAACACGTATCCTCTCATTAAAAACTGGTACAACTACTATGTACTTTCTATAGCATGTTATACATTTCATTTTCGGTACTTCTAGTTGGTCGGTTGATTGTGATTCCGTGCGTGCCAACGGCTAAGGTCGTTGGTCCCATAAGTGTAGTGCATGTTTTTGCTTGGTCGGTAGCGGAGTTCGTCCCCCGCTGGGTAGTGACATGCGGCGCCTACTTACCGTCTGATAGCGAGCTTTACCCAACCAGGTATCACTCACCAGCGGAGCACCGCCAGAGCCAGAACAAGCTCTAAGCTCCCAACCGGTCTACCGGCATGTACTGTAGTGTAGTTAATGTGTGTGTGTGTGTAAGGGCTGAGGATAGGACAAGGAATGGAAAGGAAAGATCGCGCGCGGTCCATGGCCCGTTTGTTAGGGAACTGCTCCGGATTTCCCCGGGTGTTAACCGGAGAAACCACGGAAAACTACCGACCAGTGTAGCCTGCCGCTAGAATTCTCCTCCAGGCAGAGACAAAACTCAACCTAGCTCTCTGGCTAATGCCGAAAATCTTTCCACTATCGGAAGTGAAACCCGAACTCCCGGTCAGAGACACTACAGTGTTATCAGTTGATATCCTGAGGCACCTCTCCCAGTCCGTACTTCTAGTAACGTGAGAAGTTATACATATTTCACCCTTAAGCTTTACAAACTAATGATCCTCTAGTCTATACTCTCAACAGCTTCAACTGGGATCTTTGATCTTTCACCAAGGATATTATTACTATATCCGATGTAGGGAATAGCATATCTCGACATACATTCGACACTGAATACGACTTTTAATCGTATTAAAAACAAAACAATGAAGCGTAAGTGATAGACTCGTTTAATTCTGATGCTACCAAGGATTTTTGTTACTAGTGTGGTGCTAGTTTATTGTATTTGTTATTTCTAACTCTGTGAAAAATATATGTATACCAAAATGACAAGAAAAAAAATATCGTAATATATTTCTAGCTTTTCACTTGGGGTAGATATGTTAGCCCCAATGGGGAGTACTTTGTGAAATGAAAGTGTAACAAGAAAAATACAAATCTTACTGTTGGTTTACTCATACCAACATCAAGTTCATTTGTTTAATTATTGTGATCTTGAAATATGTATGTCAACAATGAACTAAATGCAGTAATGCACAATTTCCCGTTTGGCGGTTTGGCATTGAGGCACAACGTATAACTTGCAAAAAACAGTGCCAAATTCACAGAAAGGACTCAATAATAGCGTGTTTTGAATGTTGATAAATTAATTATGTGTATTATTAACATGAAATAATTAGCTATTTAATTTCTCTATAAATATCGCTTTTCTTTAAAATATTTTTTGTCATGAATTTTGGGGTCTAACTAAATAATCACATCTTCCTTCAACATGTACAATGAGTATCAAACAGAAATATTAACTTAGATATTTTGTTGTTTATAACATTAAATTTGTATGGCCCTATTAAATGTTTTCTCAAAATTTGGGGAGAGGGAATTGCATTACCCTTCCTTTGTTAGCACTAAGTTAACAACTTAAATAAAATACTAGCGTACACGTGCGGGAACTCTCCCATGCTAAATTCCACATTTTTCCCTATCTTCCATTTTCTGTATGAAGAGAGGAAGTTGTTGACGAAACAACGTATTTCTTTAAAAAATTAAAAACGTATCTTTTAATGTACTTACAGAATTTAAAATTAAAACAAAGAACATTGAAATTAACGCTTGAAACAAAGTTTGAATAAACGTTTATTTAGTGTTATAGTCATGTTCTTGAAACAATTCGTAATACTTCCTTAAAAAAGCATTTGAAGTAATTATACAATTTTCTTTGACAGGTAGCTTTTTGCTTTCCTTGATAGTCACAAAAATATTACAAAAGCTTTTTATTCTCGAGAAAGCAGCTTAGTTGTCCATGTGAAAAAACAGGATCGAGCAAGCATAACCCTACGCTTCGGAAAATTGTTTAACATTATTATCGCACTGAGATATATACCCGTGCAATGTAATCGCCAAGAATATCAAGCAATTAGTTTCATTTCACATACGTTGCAGATTCTGTATGTTACTGATTCTGCAGATTCTGTAAATACTGTAGGTTAGATCACAAACTTTCAACAGAAACAAGAATGTCAATACTTACATTAGATTAATGAACTGTCGCACTACTCCCATAAAAAGCAATCCTTATCGGTTTCAAGCAACTATTAATACTTTTTGTTGCTAGGAGATCATTCACGATTATTTCCATAATCTTGAATTAATGATTATGCAAATAAACCTCATCAGTCGGCGCAAAACAACGCAGAGCACACATAGAAGTTGGAGAACCCTAAGCCTTCTAAACGTGACATCACAAAGATCGTCTCCAGCGTCAAGTAATATAGCTGGTATTTGATCCGTTGTGTCCGACCACAAAAAATTTTGTAGAATGTCAAAGAATAATATTGAATCCTGTGTCCGTAAAAAACGTTTCTTTGAAGCCTTTAGCCTGAAAAATTCACGTATTAAAGCCATAAAACGCTTTGTTTAGGAGTTATTTAACGATATAGATTCATAAATTCTTACAAGTGCTGCGGGTTGCATTTGACATGAATATTTAGATGCTTCTTTTAAACAAATCCTTCATACTTTTGAAGTGCAATTCGTCACGTCTCCGTAAACTTCTCTTTCGTTAGAGACCTTACTTATCAAGATTGGATGCGTGTGACAGCCGCAAAAGGTATTAATCGCGCAACATTTTTTGAACGATGACCTTGATTCCCATCTCCGGCACAAAAAACACTAGAACGTAAAAGCTCACAGCGAGCACTGATGACAACTTTCCAAACACATCTTCACTGGCGCGAAAACTATATTTTGTTGAAGACGAGAACTTCTGTCCGTGATTTTCTCCCAAAAATCTAATGAAATGATTGAAGCAAGTGAAGATCCATCACAGGAGATACTTCGAACTCCTTAGAAAGTTAGAACGCAAATTATTGAAAAAGTTGCCAAGGCATAAATGATTCCCGAGAGATTGGCATTGCTTCATAAAATCTAGTGGCCGATTTCGTAACTAATATCCCCACCCGCTTTTATTCAATCCATCGTTCACGAAAAGATGCGCGAGTAATATGTATACTACTGAAATAATATGAGACGATATTATTACATAAGGCTACAGATTCCCTTTGAGGGGCCTGCCCTGCCCTCTCTACCATGTGTGCCCGCCAAAGAGTATCCCGTGAACGTAGAGTGAAGTCAAGTTTGTAATGACTTTCGGTGCGATATGTATTAACGATGCGACATCGATAACATAACATCGACGGTAGTAAATATCGATGTTCAAAATGAAAACATCGATGATAAAAAAAACATCGACTAAAACCATCAATGTTTTTAAACTGGATTAGTAATCTCTAATACTAGATTCGTGTGCCTCGTAATTTAATTTGACAGTGTTCGTGTTTACCAATTCGATGAATAAGGGTACGAGAATAAGAGGCAGACTCCTCGCCTGCAACGTATTTGTTGACGGTATCTCAAAGTGCGAAATATATATGAAAAAAGAGGAAATGTAAAGGCATGGAGGTCATCTCGGGCGAGAGAGTTTGGTCGATGAAGGTACTGCAAACAGTGTTTCTTTGGTTCCAATACATGAATAACAGTATTACTATCAGTTATTATTTCATATTTTAAGATTTACAGTATTGTGATCATGGAATTTTTTCATTCGGAAACAAAACGAAAAAAACATCGATCACAAAACATCGGTGTTAATACATCGATATTTCAACAAAAAAATCGATGTTTTGAAAACATCGACATCGATGTCACATCCCTAATATGTACTGCGTAAATGTCATGTAAATCTGCGAAATACAAAGGACTTTAATTTAAAGTATAGTGTGATTTTCTGAGTTTTCAAATCTACATTCTTTTTCGGAATTCTACGAGTAATTTAATACCTGATCGTCGTTCATAGTGATTATCTTAGGAGGCAAATTCAGCCGCAGTCCTGCTTCACGTACACCGTCGTCTTTCTTCACTCTTCTCCTTTTAGATCTTTAAAAACATTTCGAATTAACTGAAACTGTAAAATTGGAATCATCACTTAAATATTCTCGATTCAGTATTAAATTTTACTTTTATACATTGCGCGTTGAAGGAAAACGCCGAAAATTTTTTTTAACATTTGCAGTTTTTGAAAACTCAGATATTTCAACGGAAATGCTGCGGACCTGCGCCATTTATAATGTCCATTCGGCTATCAACGACAAATATGAATCAAAAGATTTGTAGCCATTTTTTTTAGAAACTTTGAAAATATTGAGGCTTCTTCAAAAGTACCCTCAGAAATCAAAATATCCGTTTGAAACTCGTAACGTCTCGAGTTCAATGGGATCTATCAGAAAATATCAATTTTGGAGTTCAATTAGATCGATCGGAAAATATAAATTTTGTAGGATATTCGCTGATCAAGTCCTAGCATTGATCACAGACAGACTTTTTTCTGTCAATCAATTTTTAGGTATCAAGGACCCACAAAACGTGAATTCTGACTACACTATATGATAGCGGAAGTAATTTATTACATGTAGGAAAAATATTCATTCACTTTCTCGTTATGTCCGTCCGTCCGTTTCGTTATGTCGTTCGTACGACAATATGCGTTTTCTGTCGAAAAATCGACAATTTCCAGCAGTGCAACATAAGTACGTAATACGGTGAGAATGTAAAAACCATGTTAGAGGCCATTTTTGACCTTCCGTCTCCGCATTATGAGACTTTAAAATTATCTTATTTATTTTATGTCCAAAATAACATATCGCTCTCTTTAACTTGAGAAGATGAGAAAAGTTTCAAGGAAACAAAGCAAGAGACTATTTTATAATTTGCTTAATGAATTAAAGGAACCTGCCCCCACAAAAAAGATCGAGATTGTGATCAGAGGGACAGAAGATGAATGGTTTCTGCAGTAATTATTAATATTATTATTATCATCAAATAAATATAATTTTATTTTTTGATACTTGTGGTAATCTTTAATTTTCTTAAGTTACTGATGAAGTAGAACAGACTTTTTGGCATTTACACGTGTGATCTGTCATCGATTGTCATTTTAAAAGCGTAAGAAGATAAAATCCAAACATTGGGAGATTGATAGAGTGCTGCCGAAAGGATACCTCGATTTGATTATTAATTCGTGTTTCATAATTCTAATAGACACCTACATCTGAATTACACGAATATGGGCGACACATCTTGAGAGTTTTGACAAAAATTTGGGAATCGTAAATGAAAAGATGAAGTGATGGTAGTATTTCACGTTAAATAAAAAGTATGCAGGAATTATGTTGATTGTTTACACGTACAAATTCCGTCACGTCTTACTACATTCTCTAGCTTTTACCAAATGATTTTACTTCTCCCTTTAGCTATTGCACACATTTATACATTGCTTAAAAACGTTTGAAATGAATATCTTTGTTCAGAAAGAAAAATTAACCGAGAAATAAGGTAGCAGTAGAAATGTGTAAATAGTGTGCTTTTTTATTTGTGTTAATTTATCTTTCTGAATAAATTTATTAGTTTCTTTTGTAAATAATAAACAATTCACGTTTCTGGAGGGTTTTCTATGCTTCTGCAATGCAATGTTTCTGCCTAGTAAACAGTTTTTCAAAACAACTTTTGAGTACTTATAGCAGCTTAACCATTTGGAATATCCAAGTAGTTTATTAGACAAAATCCGCTTCGAATTGTCTTAAGAGCTTATTTTCGATGTTTCGACGTTTCCTTCCAGAACACCATATATATATATATATATATATATATATATATATATATATATATACAATTCCTTCCTCTGCCTTACTTATTTTATTTACTTAACTTATTTAATCTTCAGATTGTGAGTGTGGGTGGTCTTCTAAAATCACAGCCAACTTTACAGCTTTAGCTGACGAACGTTCATGCTTTACAAGACCTTAAATAAGTAAGGCGGAGGAAGGAAAGAGTTCCTTCTGTCTTACAATTCCAAAATTTCCTCATCTGTAAAGGATATCGACATGTTATTTTCCTTTTTACAAGGATTACGACGAGAAATTATCACAATATGTAAAAGGGAATACCAAACGGTCCTCTGTCAACTATAAGTAAGTCTCTCTCTGTCAACTATAGGTAAGGCCATCTCCGAGTCAAATCGAATAATCGAACAACAGCATGTAAAATGCAACGCAAATTCAGCGTAAATCTCTTAGATCCTTATCTGGTTAAGATTAATTTCTCTGGCTGCCACAGCGCATCAGTTTTAAGTCCAGACGCCATGGCGTAGAATATTTTGCTTCTCCAGTGAAGCGTCTATTTTTGAATTAAGCGTTTTACCATGGCAACTTCTGAATTATAAAAGCCATACCTGTACCAGTTCTTTGGCATTTGTTTGCTTGAGGTTGTATCAAATGCGAAGAAATGAAGATTGTATTTGAGTTTCAACAACAAATTGTGAACCGCGGTGCCCCACCGGGGCAACGACGGCATGTTGCTCAGAAACGTTTAATACAATTACAGACGACTATGGCGATGGGGACTAGCAGATTTGGTTAACTACATGCAATACTTTCAAAATATGATAGTTTTTTCAACTATAGTTTTATTATTTACTAGGCTGTCCGGGTGATGCCGCGTCCATGGCGAAGATGCCGACGTTTCGGTCGCCATTCTGCGACCTTCCTCAGGGCTTAATGCCAACGCCCTGCGTAATGCATTACGCTCTGAGGAAGGTCGCAGAATGGCGACCGAAACGTCGGCACCTTCGCCAAGGACGCGGCGTCACCCGGACAGCCTAGTAAATACTGACTCCGGCCGCGGAAGCCTACGCTCTTACTATAGTTTTATTGTTTCAGAGCTACAGTAAACTATACTGTACTACACCCTCTCCCCCAGGGCAAATTAATAGTAAACTTTCAGAAGTTTAACGTAAACGAAATGTACTACATTTTTCAGCGACTTTAAAATCACAACCGCATCTCAACAGTTGTGGTAGTTTCTTTCTCAAACGTTTCCGATGAGGGTTCTTTTCAGCTTGTTAAGTGGGTAGCTGAAGATATTCGAGACATTTTGTTATAGAATTTTGCGGATAGAAGGGAGAAATGTAGTGTATTGATGGGAGTGACACCGAGTTCTAAATGGAGTTGTGGGTTTCGATTAAACCAGGGTGCTTTTGTGATTAAGTAGTTATTTTGAAACTTTTGGGTTTTGTGAATGTTGATTTTGGATGCAAAGGCCCAGACTGGAAATGAATAACAATATTGATCATATCATTGTTTGGGAGAGATGAATGGGTTCGTGTAATTCAAGTGGGAATTAATTTTTACACGAAAAAAGAACAATTGCAGTATACCAGATCCATGATACTACGAATATAACAAGTTCTCTTGTTACTGTGTCATGGATGTGGTATACTGCAACTGTTCTTTTTTTCGAGTACTAAGGGATATGACGAGTGTGTTCTTCTAGTAGCTAGTGCAATTCTGTGCATAACATTTGCTCTCCACGCGAGGCGTCTGTCGAAGAATACTCCCAGGTATTTTGCCGTGGCGTTCAGGGCAATCCATGCTATATATGGTGGGAAGTGGGTCAAGGAGTCTTCAAAGAGCGAATACTTTTTCTTGACTCTTGCTTGCGTTTATTTGTATATGCATTTTTTGGGCCCATTCCGAAAATACAGTGAAATGATTTTTGAAGACCCTGCACTGCTGTTCTTATGCCTGGATTTGTGAAGTAGATTGTTGTCACTTGCAAAGGTGGCAATGGATGTTGATGGTGTGGTTATTTCATTAAGGAAAAAAACATCTTCATAATTGTTTTTGTAGGAAGACACCGTACAATTCTTAATTTTTCCCATTTTAAAAAATCAGAATTTTCAACAAACATGAGACCTGCACCATTTTCTTAAACGTTCTACATGCTATCTGAGGTCACAATTTAATTAAAATTATCGTCGTTAAGAGAGATTGGTTCCTAATATATTCCACTAGACGTCAGTAGCAGTGTGGTGGAACACTAAAATCCCCAAGAAGGCAGTAGCAGTGCGTAAGATGTTTCATCTATAGCAGTGTACTGTAAAATGTATTTTATTAAAATTTGAACCAATTTCATTAAGAATAAAAATCTTAAAACACCATGTATTATATGGAATTGATCTTTTTCCGCTTTCACGAGAACTGGATATAACGAAAGTCCGGACAATAAGTGAAAAAGACACGTTTCCCTTTGAATTTTGCAACAATTGCTTTCGGATGATTTTTTCGGGTCCTACGGCAGTTTTTATTCTCTTTCACATTAATATCGCGATTATCGTTTTGGTTTGGGGGGGATTTTTAACCTCCTTATTCGGCTACATTCCTTCGGTAAGCCGTGCATTTGATTTAGTGAAATGCCGGACGCGTCATCCGTCCCCGTTGAGGCCATTAGTCCCGTAAATGTATGGCATATTTTATTGCAGATGGCCGTGATCTCCCGCTGGCTGCGGAGATCCGGTGCCGACCTATGTCGAATTGCGGGGATTTTTCCAAACCAGGCAACTCCTACTAGCGGGGCATCGCCCCAGTCAGGACAAGCTCTAAGCTGATAACGTATTGTATGTGAGTGTAAGGGGTAAGGGTAGGACAACGAAGAGGTAGGAAAGATCGCGCGCGGTCCGTGGCCCGTTTATTAGGATATTGCTCCAGCATTGGCCTGGTGTTGTTCAGAAGAACCAGGAAATCTACCGATCAGAACAGCCGGCAGCTAGAATTCTCCTTCAGACAGCGGCTGAACTCGACCTAGCTTATTAGTTGAAGTCAAAACTCCTCCCTCCCTCGCACTCAAGAACCTCCCAGTCAGATGCACTGCAGTGACATCAGTTGTTGCCCCGGGTCACCTCAGCCGCTTAAAGTAGCGCATATGGTTTCCACTTCTCAAAGCGCTTCTAATCAGTACATACAATAAGCTGTGAGAACTATTATAGTGTCTTAAAATGCGTATTTTACGACTTTAAATTGTTAGAAGGTTGTGACTGTGTGGAA